CACAAGCACACACACACACTTGCGCGGGGTTTCGAAACTTTTTTTTTTTCCATTTTTTTTTTTTGTTTTTATTTTTTTTTACGCAATAGAAAACAACAATGCCCCAAAAAAAAATATGGGCGTGTAGGGTTTTTTGAACCCTACACGCCCATATATATATATATATATATATATTTTTTTTTTGTGCACTAAAATACGGGAAAAAAATTGTTGCACCAAACTTGGCTGGTCGGCCGTGGCCGAACCCGACCGATTTGGCCGACGACCGAGGCCGCGGCCGACTTGAACCCCCCGGCTGCGGCCGGGCATGCAACATAGATTCGGGCTGCTATACAGAGAGCATCGTGGGCATGATGTCGACGACAATGCAACGACAATGAAGATGGAGATGCAGGTGGTCAGTGACCTTTCAGCAGACCCTGAAGATTATGAGGTTCAACCGCTGACGGCTGCAGTCGATCTCCAACACCGGTGCGACGAGGTTTCCGTTGTTGTGAGCCCGGCTGAACACAATTAACATATAAGCATCGTTGAAGTTATCGATGGCATACTCAGCGACGAGCAAGTGTCCGCACAATGGTCTGAAGCGCAATTCGTGGACGACCTCCGCAACTCTACACCTTCCGTGCCCTCTGCCACCGTTTTCTCACCACCCAGCTCTCCGGTACTGACCGCCACCTTCGCCAGAGGTTGGGAGGGCGAAGTCGGGGGCCGGTCACATGTCACGTCCCTGAAAAAATCTAGGACCGACTCTCAGGCTCTCGACGTGATGACCTTACACCCGCCAACGTCACCGACGAAGGAGTGAAGGGATAAACCGGCCGGTAAGCAGTGATGAACGTCACAACATGCGCGCTCCCCGACTAAGAACCTCAACTGACCAACTCAATGGAATGACATTTTTTTCTTCTCGGAGGGAGTGGTGGTTAACGTCCGCCGGGATCCGCTGGATGTGTAATGTGGTTAGTCTCTTTGTGCCTGCTGTGGGAAAAAGTCTGACGAAATCCGAACTTCGGGGAATGTTGGTCTTCCGCTTGTGTGACTTGTTGTGGTTTTCCTTTGTGAAGGGCGGGGGAGTCAAGCTCGACTGCACATATCATTTTGTTTTCCAGCCATACACATGCACCTCGGTGCTAATGGCAATGCAAAATCGGGGTTCTATAATTGGAGAGGTCCTGCATCTTTTAGTTTGTGTGGTTCGCACATTGTCACTTTCGTCGGATTCATGTTGGGAAACGTTGTCGAGCGCATCGGTCCGGCATTGCACAAGGGCAGCACGGGACCCTCCCGGCCGCGTCACGCAGGAGTTGGTTTTAATCCTTCGTTGCGAATATACATGGAGTTTCCGCAAGCCACTCCGCCCGAGTGCGCCAGCCATACCTCTCGCGAGCCCCTACGACAGGATAGGGCCTACGTGAGGCACAACTTACCTCCACCTTACAGGAGTTGTCACCTCCCTTCGGTGGGTGTATCCCCACCGAGCTACCAGCCCACAATACGAAAGCTGATCAGCTGCAATCGCAGAGGTGGACCAGCCGAGGGCGCTTATCGTTCGCTTATGCATAGGGGGTACGCGCGGTACTACGCCTTTATCGGACCCGCACGCGAACTGACATCTTGGGGGGCTGAG